GGTTATTTTCAGTAATGACAATACAGTTTGTTGCGCTAATTTTACATGGGATTCTGCCTTTTCCAATTGCGTTTAGACATTAAATTAGGAACATTTTAATGTGATCAAAAAATGAAATTACCTATAAACAAGGTCAATGAATGTGGCAATATGAATCATAATACGTAAATGTACAAAAATATACAGTTAACAGTTGGTTTAAAAAATAATGGCTTGCATGCCCTGGGACAGACTGACAGAGGCGAAGCTGCCATATTGCACCATCGGCCCCTCTGGCCATCAACAGTAGGCGAAGAGTCTTGACCACGGACACAATACCGAGAGTGTCCAAGACGGGGCTTGAACCAGCAACCTTCTGATCACAAGGCGAACTGCCAACTCTTGAGCCACGAACGCCCTCAATAGCAATGATAATAATACTTATGTGATGTAACACAAGGTTATAGGAATCATGTTATATACTTTTCCATAGCATTACATTTGAATTCAACAGTTCAATCTTTCAAATAATGGACAGATATTTGTGAAATCATGATACATTTGTGAATGTATTTTAACAATCTAAATATGCATATGTATAGACAGATACATTTAATAATCATGACAATTATGTTGTAAATGGTAAATGGCCTGTATTTATAGAGCGCTTTACTAGTCCCTAAGGACCCCAAAGCGCTTTACATATCCAGTCATGCACCCATTCACACACACTCACACACACTGGTGATGGCAAGCTACATTGTAGCCACAGCCACCCTGGGGCGCACTGACAGAGGCGAGGCTGCCGGACATAGGCGCCACCGGGCCCTCTGTATTACATTACAGTGATTTAACGTTAATTTACATTCACAATGTGAAGTCAAAGTCTATTTACGTAACTTTAATGATATTAAGAACAGAACAAAACTGTAAAATGCAGTAAAATACTTTTATATTAGGATTTTTTCCTGCAGTACAGCCACACCCGCGACCTTGTGGTTGTTAGTTCACATTCATTGGCCGATGCTTAGCGTCATGTTTTTATGTGTCCCAACATCCAATGGCATGTCACATTGTTTTCATGGCCACACCCTCACCCCAGGTGCAGAGGCCTATTTCTGTTCAGGAATGTTGTGAATACTTTAAGATTTATATTAATTGCAATTCCTACATCTACATTTATTTCTTAAAATATGTAATTAGCACAGCGTGGCCGTGCAATGTTTTATATGTTTTTTTTAGTTTTTATTCCTGTTAATTATATTTTCACTTGTTACCTCTAAATTATTGAATCAGACAAAATTATAATTCAAATACTCCTTTAATTATTGATTATTCTCATTAATTTTCGATCATTTTATATATTTTTCCGTAGTATTACATTTGGATTTAACATATCAAAATCAGCCCGGTCTCAAAATGCCCAGGCTGATTTTTTTGTCCCAGTCCAGTCCTGGCCTCACAAAATTATCACGACCACAAAAAACGTGAAAAGAGTTGGATGGACATTGCTGCTCAATCACAGCTGCCTGGTCAATGCTTTTCAATCTAGCAAAGTTGATGGTGGTGGTGTGTGTGTCTGTGTGAGTGAAAGACAGAGAGAGAGGGAGAGCGAGAGACAGATTTTGTGTTATAACCTTCAGGTTATGGACGCACAGTGTGAGCACTCAGGTCCCATCAGAGCATCGGGCCGACTAGTGTGAGACCCTGTACGTGACCTACAAACTTCTAACCCCTGTGGTTCAATCGTACAGTTTGAGCAGGAGCTGAATAACGAGACTGAAAAATTTGCACAGTGTATGCCCAGCTTAAGGAGACAAAGACCTCAAAAGAAGGGGCCTCATCTTAGGAGATTAATCAGTCTTTCACTTGATCATTTTAGGAGTTTAAGCAGAGGAGGACGCTAGCTGGCCAGCCAGACCCAGCTGCAAATGACATATTCAGGGTTTGAAGAAACGTGTCTCCACAGCTGAGCAAAAATGTACAACAAGCAACATATAATGGGTGAATATGAATAACTTTTTATTTCAGCAAACGTTAAATTTAACTTGGGAACGATTACAATAACAGTGACCATGTGAAATTATACAGTAAACAAACATTCTCAGTTGTATTATATACCAAACAAGCTTAAAAAAAAACTCAAAGCATCTGATTTTAACACTGACTCTACATATTGTATTGAACTACACAAGCATCAGCACTTTGAAATACTTAAAATGAACTTTAAAATACTGTTGGCCATCTTCACTCAACCAACAGCCAAAATGGTTACATCCTACACTGTGACAACTTGAGTGGTGACCACCGTTGAGGTGGCCGGCTGCATGTAGGCCCTGATCTTCACCTCACGATGCATCTGGCACCAGACACACTCGTAACACCAAAGTATTTTACACCAGTCATCACAGCACGAACCCTGCAGGATGGAGAAAAAGAAGAGAAGAATAAGACATAACTCAACACAATGAGGCAAACATGGTGAAGTCCCCATGCTTGTCTGATTTAGAGTACTCTCAGTGTTCACTTGCGAATGTGAACTAACAGTCAAGTAGTTCTTTGATGCTGTTATAAGAAGCTGGGTGAGTTAATAAAAGTGAATTTGTTCACAGCCGTAGTTTCCTGCTAAACAGATTTGAACAAACTGCCGTTACACTGTCTGTGTGTTTAATGAAGGCACACGGGGTATGTTTGAATGGTCAGTTTCGATTGATTGATTGAATCTTTATTTTGAACATGTTGAAAAAGTACAACAACATAGAATTAAAAGAGAAAAATGAACAAAGCAAAACAAAAGGAAAACGAGCAACCACAACTACAAATAACGTTCATGTTCAAAAAGCAGCAGGAAGAGGCATAAGCTTATTTAATCCCACCCCTTTTCCACTATCTAGTATCAATAGACTACAGAAATACCTCCTTGCAATTACATTATATGTAATGTGTGTGTATGTATGTATGTATGTATGTATATATATATACA